ACTTTGGTGTTTTTTGATGAGTTACTTTCATTTTTGCTTCAACTTTTCATTTAAAATAAGTTTGCATTCTCAGCAGGTTTCTGTGGTTCTTCTTAAACATGTTAAAAAAGTTAAGCAACTGAGTGGCGCACTACCGCTACTAGTGGTGAGAAAGTGTATTGCAGCTTAATCAAAATCAACGCGGTCCTGCGGCCCAAAGTTAAAAACTGTTGTTCTTTGGGCCGCACAGGGCCGCAGGACCGCGTTGATTTTGATTAAGCTGCAATACACTTTCTCACCACGAGTAGCAGTAGTGTGCCACTCAGTTGTTTAACTTTTCTCAAAGTGGCACTCGCCCACTTTGGCCTAGACCCCATTCAGATTAGCCATTAGCTTGTAAAAGTCATCTGAWGCCAGGCCATTTAAAGAAACATCAGTAACAGGTAAGATACTAACTGCTCATAGCATTTCCACAGACCAACACCAACAACAGAACTAAGTTGTTTTAAAGTTTGTTGCAAGACAGAGCTAAAAATAACAACACAGACCATCAGGTCCACCTATTCAACCGCTTRTTAGCACAAAAAGCTAATCAACCAATCACACGGCAGCAACTCRGTGCACTCAGGCATGTTTTGAAGATGAAATTAAATGCAGCATCAGAACAAAGAAGAAAAGAGATTTAAGTGATTTGGATGCAGCAGTTTTTAACCTGCTGGCCTGTTCTGCAGGGTCCACACAGGGGTGGTCTGAGAAACAAGAGTCCACTTGGGACTAAACCAGGGGACACTTCCAAATTCAGCTGTCTAGATCCTGTCTTCAAAAAACAATTACTGCTGACAGAACTGTGCAGCAACAACGCTGCAGTTTTTCTAACTTTATAAAATCTTGTTAGCAATGAAACAGAAACTAAATTATGAGTATTTAACCTTTCTATTAGCTGTGGACCCCAACGCTCCAGCACCTACTGAGTTGTAGACAAATATATCACTGCCATGACAACAAGACTGAAAAGAAAAGTAACTTTAATTTAAAAACAGCTGAAATAAAATAAGCTCTTTAGAGCTCAGTACTGCGAAATGAATCTAAATGTTTCAGTAAATGACATTTATTGAACAGGAAAAGATCACTCAGGTGGTATTATAAAGCTCTTATAAAGTTCATTTAACACTGCAGGTCAGAGCTTTTATTATGTAGTAAAAAATAAACAAAATGTATTTATTTTGTACAGAATCTCAGTTTATAAGTTCCACTCTAATCTGAATTATTTCTTTTTTTTTGGACAAGGCAAACTCTTTAATCACTGCTATTAAATAAAGATGAAAAATCTGAGATAAATCCTTTGGTCTGACGCTATGATCGATGTGCGTGTGTGTGTGTGTGTGTGTGTGTGTGTTTGTGTGTGTGTGTGTTTGTGTGTGTGTGTGTTTGTGTGTGTAATCCGAGGGTCTGAGTGCGCCTGAACTCACCGTGGTGGTTTTGACTCGGCCTCCGGGCTGCGTACAAGTCCATCCAGATTTATTGACTAACAGGTCACAGCCTTCATCCTCCAAACATGGAACCATCTCGCACCACTGCTTTTTTCGAACAATCCCAGCTGAGGAGGAGACGGAGGGAGAGCCATTAGAAAAAAACTGACAGGAATATAGAAAAGAAAAAGAAAAACCGTGTGAAGAGACGAAAGGATTTAAAGAAAAACAATGAGATTAATAAAAGAAAACAGAAACGAGAGGATGTAATTATGTAAAAACAGTAAAAACCAGCAGGGATGCTGATTAAAGGGCTTCAATAGTCAAAGGTAAATA